TTTCTTTACCATATCAAAAGGAAACGTAGGGAATTTGATAAAGGAATTCAACGGGGAAACCGTCACACAACAGAAAACCATTTAATCGCCGACTATGCTTCTAAAGCAGGAGAACTTGTAAGATATTCATCAAAAATATTAATATTTAATGTGAATAGAGATATTAATCAACAAAGTCAGAAGTTTAGCACCATCATGGGTTCAGCCTCTTAATAGAATATTAAGTACCAAAAAAAAAACACTATCTCTACTTATTTAGCAAACTATTAGGATTTCAAGAGGGAAAAGCTAGTTAAATTACAGTGTTGATCTTCTTTTAGAAACATAAGTCAGCCTTAACCAGGGCTTAAGCAGGGGAGAAATTTTTGGAAAAATTGTAGCCATCAATCCTGTTTATGGCTGGGCTGAGAATTTGAAAAGTGAAGCTTCTGAGAATCCACATCAGATTGAGGTAGCCTGAGTGGAAAGGGTTAAAAAGCATTCTTCTCACTTTATTTTTTAAATATTTTTATTTATTTTTGAGAGAGAGACAGAGCACGAGCTGGGGAGGGGCAGAGAGAGAGGGAGACACAGATTGGGCAGCAGGCTCCAGGCTGAAGCTGTCAGCACAGAGCCTGATGCAGGGCTCGAACTCACGAACCGTGAGATCATGACCTGAGCCGAAGTCTGACGCTTAACCCACTGAGCCACCGAGATGCTCCTATCTTCACTTTATTACCAAATCCTCCATGGGGATAGTGAGGAACATTATTGAACAAAAACTCATGTAATTTTCTTTATTTTGTGTAGTTCAGTTTGGTTTCATCTCTGCACTTGCATTGTGTCCAATGCAAAATGGGAAGAAAAGAAAATAATCTAGACGTTTCTAGGTAAACTCAATAAAATGCAGCTATTTTTCAGTCTCTTCAGGCTTAACACTTGGCCATATTTATGTTTGTCAGCCTTCATCCTCTCCTGCCCCCTGCAGTTGATGCTAAACTTGGGGGGTGGGGTTCTTACAGAAATATACCCGCAGGGGACAGGGATTGGGTGTCTGTTTTCAGTGTGGCATCATCTCTGTCCTAAGCTGCTCTTGCCCAGGACAAACTTCCTTGTCCTGTTGGGCTCTCAGACGGGATATGATAATTGGTGACAGGACTCTCTCTGGTCCAAGGTTCTCTCCTGGCCCACACCTGCCCCACCCCCCCATAACTATTAAGCTCCCCTGAGATACAGCCACAACCTGTAAGCTCCCCTGAGACGCAGCCACATCCACTCCTTAACCCAGGCAAGCACTGTCCACACCTGCTGTTCTGGTGTGTCCTCTCCTCCTGGCCGACTAACCCCCCTCTGCAGCCCTGGGTCCTCAGCCTTTCCTCCTCAGCTGACTTACATGGCCCACCCACTGGAGACAACAGAAATGCTCAGAGGCTATTCTATGCCACACTGGAGCCACAGGAGCCCTTTCCTGCCCCCCAAGTCTGTTGCCGGTGGCTCTGTGGCCGCTGCTCCGTGATGATGCAGGGACTTCGCTGGTTCTTGAACAGACACTGCCGTGAGCAGGGTGGGCAGCAGAGCCTCGGTCTTCTCAGCTCTCATCTTCCAGGGATCTTTGTCAGCTCCTCACACAGAGCACGACTTGTCTGGGGGCGCATCTGGTGGCAGCCCCCACAATGCTCTCACACCTCCTGCTTCCTCTCCAACCCGGACCCTTTCTCTCCATGACTTGGAGGCTCCGTGTTGCCTGAGGACAGGCCAAATTGTCTTCTGCCTATTCTCATCCCCTTCCGGATGTGTCCCAACCTTTTACCTACATCTGTGCCTTCCACCCTTAAAGTCAACATTCACTGCTTTATGCTCTGTCCCATCCTGAGAACACCTGGGTCAAATCATGGCGGACCTGTCTTCAGGGAGAGCCGTAAGCAAGGAGAAGAAGGAAGAGCATTCAGTGGTTTGAATTGCTGTCACATCACATGCACGGAAGCATCCTTTCCTGACACAAACGAGGCCTTTCTCTTTGCCATTCCAATCATATGCAACTTCTTGTATCAGATCTGCTAAATCTGGACAGGCTGTTCTCAAGACAGGGTTGAAATGCCCAGTAGTTCCACTGATAGCACTTGAAGGGTCTTTAACTCAGGAGTTTCGAGGAGTGCCAGATGGGCTATTTATTGCAAGTCCTAAGTAATAGCATCCCCTATTAAACCAAGATTAATTGGTACATTTGTAAGGATTACATCAACCATGAGTGCAGATGTCTTTCTGAGAGGCAGATGAGAATGGAGGCCAAGCCCACCAACTCTGGGGCAGCGCTCCCTGGGTTCACGACCTGCCCAGGCGTCTGCAGACTGAGAAGCCTTGCTGTGGCTCCCTTGCCTCATCTGTAAAGTGGAAGTTACCATAGTGGCTACTGCATAGGGTAGAGATGGGGATTAAATGAGTTAATATATATAAAGACATTAGAGCAGTGCCTGACAGTTGATTGAAGTGTTAAGTTTGTTTTCGAGGACTCGTGGCTCTCCTGGGATCATCACTGGGAAAGCGTCTCACCAAGAAGAGTTTGAAACATATCTGTGCTCTTTTCTCCTGGACCAGATCCTTCTCCTTGTCTTTCTCCTCCTCTTGCATCTTTCTTGTCATTCTCCCCCCTCCCCTTCCTCCTCCCCTTCCTTCCCCTCTTCCTTCTTCTCTCTTTGAATCATCAAACATCGTCTCTTCAGTGCATGGACCACTTTTCTTAAAGGCATCCTGGTCCATGCCCTTCCCTCCACGCTGACGTGCTCTGTGCACAGTGCCGTCGTATTCCATTTATGGGAAGTTAAGGTTCCACCCAAAGAGCCACTCAGCCACAGTGAGTTATGAAGCATTTTTGTCTCTTGTTCAGCTGTTTTTATGCCAGCAGTACTCCTGCTTTGTTCCTATCACCAAACTTTTGGCAACCCGCACACCTTTCTAAGCACAACAGAGGCTGCCGTGCTTTTCAAGGCAACTCCCTTCTTTTCCAGAAAGCCTCTAAACGAGCTTCATGTTTCTGTGTTGAGTGCACCTGTGAAACATTCCCCAGTTACTGAATTCCTTTCCCTCTTTCCACTCCTGCACTCTTTTACTCCTTCTGCTGGGTTTCATACAGGTTACACGCGTGGCTTACACGTGATCTACTCCAAGACTGATTACTACGTAGAAACCATCACTGTCGTGTCACTTTGTACGTCAATAAAACTTGTGGAAACTTGCAACATCTCTTGAGTGGAATGTAAATAACGTATTCTGAGTTGTCTTGTATGGAACTAATATTGGGAATTTTTCCTATACAGTTGACTCGTGAACAATAGGAGTTTGGACTATGCACCTCCACTTAATCATGGACTTTTTTCAATAAATACATCAGTACTATAAATGTATTTTCTCTGCCTTATGATTTTCTGAATAATATCCTTTCTTAAGCTTACGTTCTTATAAAAAAATACAGTATAAATACATGTAACATACAACCTGTGTGTTAATCTACTGTTTGTCTTGTTGGTAAGGCTTTAGGTCAGCAGCAGCCTGTTACGTTTTGGGCGAGTCAAAAGTTTTATGCAGATTTTTGACCACATAGGGGGTCAGTGCCCCAAATCCCGTGTTGTTCAAGGGTCAACTGTATGTGCAAGCACACAGAACTAAAAGTGTCAAAATAAAAGTTCTTTTCTGTGTATCAATAATGTAAGGTCAAATCCATTATCTGATTATCTCTTTTCACTTAGGGAGAACATACCACTGTTGTTGACCATTTTCCCATGCCAAAGAGGCATATCTGTAACTCAGACACGTTTGGGGCTATCTATAGCCATTTTTTGTTACTCCGAAATCACTTCCCAGGAAGGCTTAAGGATTGTCATTATTTTCCCAACACCAGATCATCTTTCCATCCAACATGGGAGGGATGTAATAGCTGAACTTATAAGAAGAAAAAACAAAGTCCAAGCCTTCCTTTCTTGGCTCATTTCAGATATGGCCAGGTTCCCCTCTGTCTACGTTTGGAAGGATGAAGGAGAGGGCGAGGCAGTGTCTGGGAGACTGAGCACAGGGGATTAGGTGAGAGAGAGGTGATGGCAGAGGAGGAAGTATCGGCAGCATCATAAAGAGAAGCAGATGTAGAGTAGCAGGACCAGGCGCAGGTGGCCCCCATAGGCAGGGTATTTGACATCTTTGTGTCTAGATTTCCCCATCCGTAAAATAAGAATGCTAATGCCGACCTCCCAGGGCCTTGGGGAACTAGGAGAGATCAGTAATGTATGAGCCAGCATCCTGGGCCTAGAAGGAGGTGCCAAAGAGGTCATCTTTAGGGCTTATGCTTCAGCCTGCTTAAATGACTGAGAACATTCCCTGTGGTGTCTTAAAAGGTCCAGAATATCACCCCAGCAGTAAAGTTTATCGTTGACGTTCATCTTATAATACGTAGACATTGACCCTACATCTGATTTCCGTTTTCTTCTTTTTTCTAGCTTCTCTTCTTAGTTTTAGGGAAGAAAGCCAACAATGAGTGGGCTGCATAAGCTCAGGTTTCTAGTCTTTTCCGGGCACTGGAGACAAGAAGGTTCACAGGTAGTGGAGGAAGTGGATGAAAAGCATATCTCAGCATGTCACATTGCAAGTGAAATTTCTGATGACACAAAGTGGTTTTGTACTGTCTTCACGAGGGGCCTCCCTCCCTCAGAAGGGATATCCCATCCAGACACCCAAATTTCAGTGAGAAGTTTCCAAACCTTGAGATTTTTGTATGTCTAAGGATTTCTGACTGTTGATTTCTTTGCTCCCTGAGAGTGGGGCTGTGGAATAGTCCATTGCAATCAAGAGATGCTTTATTGAATTCAGTCTGTTTCCCCAAGCCCCTCAGGCTTCCTAGAGCTTGAAGGACAGAGTGGGGGCAGGAGAAAAACCATACAGTGTGAGTTGATGGTGATAAGAAATTATGTGAATGTGACTTCTGACATAGGACAGGATGAAGTTGTGTGTGTTTTTTAATCTCATATTTCATGCAGGGCTGGGCTGAGGATGTGGCAGGCATGGCGTATGCCCTACGTTCACTGCCAGAGGGGGCTCCCTGCCTGCCACAGGTGAGAGCCAGCTCTGGGGTGCCTGCCCTGATGGGAATGGGGGATGGAAGGGCCTGGTGGGGGAGGGGTGGGGACTCGGTCCCACCTTTGGTGGTTCCCTGAAGGACTGCCACAGAATCCAGAACTTCATGTCGTGAATGCCATTTTCTTAAACCCTTACATTGCTTGGTTTTTATTGTGCACACTCTTCTCTGGAGTACTGTACAACAATATGAAGTGTATATGTGAATGTCCGGAAAACGTGGACCTCCCTGCATTCCATTAAATGAATCTGAATGCTTTATCATGCTGAAGTTGCAAATACGTTTCAGATAAAAAGTAGGTGTGTTCCATTAAAGCCGACAACCACCAATCCAAAACAAACTGTATGTCTTACTTTATAAAATGGACATTGAATAATGGCCCCAGACATAATACATTTTGATCCAAATGTTTTCTTAAAAATCTGACGGTTTTTACTCTTGACTTTAAGTGTCATGTTTACCTCTCCTCACCCTTACCTTTTTCTGACTCATTGACTTTTTATTATTCAGCCAACAATTTAGTGACCGTATGTTCACCAACCCACCTGCGTGCCCCACCTCCAAATGCAGGTCTCTTAAAAAAATGACCTGTCCTCAACTTTTTATCATTTTCTACCTTTTCCGGCGTTCTTTTTTATTCCTCCTAACACCAAAAAACCAGCCCACCCTTCCTGTCCTAGCATTTCCTGTCCTAGCCCTTTCTGTCCTAGCCCTTCCTGGCCTAGCCCTCCGCATCTTAAAGCATCAAGTGGCTTGCCCAAGTCAAGGACTGCAAATGCCAGCATCAGAGAAATAAGCGTGGCAATAACTGATTAACCCCAAAACCTCTTGCATATACTGAAGGCAGAAAATAAAGTTAAGACATTTCAGTACATGCCTACCGCATTCAGCCCATTCTACAACCAGGTCGTGATAATTCATCCTTTTTGGCTCCTATAAAGCAGCCGTCTGAAAGCCTGCACGTGCTGTTAGCTTCTAGGGTTTTCCACCTCCGCTTCTAACGCCTTGGCCTTCCTTCTCGTTGCAGTGGTCAGTATATATCCGAGCTGCTGTCCGAAAAGAGAAAGGCCTGCCTATCCTCGTGGAGCTGCTCCGAATAGATAACGACCGTGTGGTGTGCGCGGTGGCCACGGCACTCCGGAACATGGCCTTGGACGTCAGAAACAAGGAGCTCATTGGTACGTTCTCTGCAATTCACAGTGTCTCAGAATCTAAATGAAAACATTTCCCGGCAGGTGCATGTGGCCGAATCCATAGGCAAGACAACCGCACGTGCAAAACACAGTGCATTTATTAGAGGTCACGTTTTGTCAGCTGGCCACCTTCTTTAAATGCAGTGAGCTGATTTCTCTTTTAGAATTTACAGGAAAATGCAATGTGTGTTGACATTCCTAATCCTTGCAACTTAAAAACGACCACAGTGCTCAGCACTGGATACCACTGTCCTGAGCCTCTACGTCTCTGGTTGTTTGTTTGCTTTCCACGTGGTGACCTGGGATTCTAATGGCTGCACGCCACATCTCTTCCCCTATCTGTTTGAAGATCTGTTTTGGATTAGAGCATACTGGCCCTTTAATCCTATTTGTAAAAGACTCCTCTTCCTCTAATTCGGTACTCAAGAAATAGGGGAGATCTTTTATTAATGAAGCATTAAGGAGATCGTATATTCATCTATTTATTCGACAGATGTTTATCCCTGACCTGCTTTGTTCCAGGCCTGTTCTAGGCTCAGAGATTTTATCAGTGAGCACAACAGACAGGAAGGCTCGCCCTTGTGGGGTTTATATTTGGGAGAAGGGAGAGACGCATCGAATAAAATATACATTCGCAGGAACTTGACGGTATGTTAGAAACCTTACATGGGGTAAAGGAAACCATCATTGTGAGGCGGCGGTTTTTTTCATCGAGGTGAGATTCACATAACATTGTATTAACCCCTTCAGAGTTTACCATTACCGTGGCATTTAGTATTTTCATAATGTCGTACAACTACCATATCTGTCAAATTCCAAAGCCTTTTCACCACCCTAAAGAAAACCCTGTAGCCATTAAGTAGGCACTGGCATTTTCCGTCCTCCAAGACCCTGGCAGCCACAGTCTCCTTTCTGTCTCTGCAGACGTCCCAGTTCTGCATATTTCATGTAAATGGAGTCATATCGTATGTGAGCTTTTGCGTCTGGCTTCTTCCACTCAGCATAAGGGGTTGTGATTTTAAGTGGAAGGTCAAAGTCAAGGTAGTCGTGGGAAGGTTACATCTGAGCAAAACCTTGAAGGAGGTGAGAGTAGGTCTTGTGGACATTTAGGGGGAAGGGCAAACGGTGGGGGAGCTGGGAGCTGGGTGGTGAGTTCAGGGTCTTCAAGGGGCCGCTTGTGTCTGGGGCAGAGTGTGGTAGGAGCCCAAGTGGGAGAGGCCTCCTGGTTCCTCCCCTCTGCAGGTAGGAAGATCCCAGGCCAAGGCCGATGGATGCCTGGAGGAGTGGTGAACCAGGAGAACTCCCTTCCCCAGAAGAGACACAAGCCTCCGCACAATGTATTCCTGCTAGAGCATCTGAGATTAAAGAGGGGGTTCCAGTAGGGTCTTTGGTCAATGCCTCATGAAGTCTGGCAAGCCTCCGTGCAGGTAACAGGTGTCACTGGAGTTTGGGTAGCAGGGAGCTGGACCAGCCACCATGCCAAAGATTCACATGGTACCAACTCTGGGCCGGGGGAAAGGGAGAAAGTGAGTGAGCGTGGGCAGAGGGTCGAGTTTCCATTCCTGGGACAGTTGGGGTCCCAGGCGTGGGTCTAAATGTCATACACAAATTTCACATAGAGACATGGGTCTATTTGTGCTGTCCTCATTCCTGAGCATGGCGTTCCAAGCCCTTTGTGATCAGGAAACCAGATACTTTTTTCCTGCCGTTTCGTAATACCCATCACATCCTCCAATAAAATCAAAAGTATTTGTGGACCTTTGTCCATTATTTATTTACAGGGAAAAAAGACTTCAAATCTTTGCCTAATAAATGTAAGTATCTTTTTAAGCTCACACTATGTTATAAATCATGAAAATTAGACTCACAATTTGATTTTTTTTTTCAACGTTTATTTATTTTTGGGACAGAGGGAGACAGAGAATGAACGGGGGAGGGGCAGAGAGAGAGGGAGACACAGAATCGGAAACAGGCTCCAGGCTCCGAGCCATCAGCCCAGAGCCCGACGCGGGGCTCGAACTCACGGACCGCGAGATCGTGACCTGGCTGAAGTCGGACGCTCAACCGACTGCGCCACCCAGGCGCCCCTCAATTTGATATTTATAGTTAGTTTGAAAAGAACTTAAGTGTCGCTGTGGATTTTGTATATTTAAATTAGGCCATTAACTCAGAAGGTTACCCGCTGCATATCTGCTCTTCCTTTCCTTATGGAGTTGTTTCAGACGGGACAGAGCTGGGGCTTCTGATAAGATCTTGTCGTTCCTGTGTAAAATGGAGGAAAAATCAATAGCTAATCAGTCCGCTGCCTGGATACTAACTACTAGGTCTTGTATGTCTGCGTGTTTTATTTCTTTTGCTGGATTAAAATATAACAAAATAGGGAACTATTGATTGGTTTTCTAGCTTCCAGACACCTCTTCTTTCTCAGAAGCCCGTTATTCGGGACTCTCTCTGAGGCAGGAACATTTGGAGCTCCATATTGCCCATGTTAAATTAAGCCTTTACTATCAAATGTCACCAGCCAGGAAAGGGAGCCAGTCACTTAAAAATAGAAGTGAAAATATCCAAGTCACTGGCTTTATGGAATCAATAACTTTTTTTCTCGAATGAGAAAAGCAGAATTTAACAACAACAACAACAAAAAGAAAAGAAAAAAAACCAACAACACACCTGTCTATTCCATCTAGAAGAATGGAAATGTGACCTCTGCCAGCTCTTTGACTTTAAATACTGTATCACAGTAGTGATTTTTATAGGAAACGCTATACAGAATTTTGTGCATTGAAAAGAAAGTTGCAGTGACTTTGAACAAAGAACAGCAACAAAGGGCAAGAGTTGAACTTGGACTTCTCTTTTCTGTCACTTCTCAGTCAACGCTTTGGTGGTTTTGTGGTTTCATGGTGTCAAAGATCTATATTCCGATGACGCTCAGATGGGTATCTCTGGTGCGAGTCCCACATCTCTGGGTCTAGCTGTCTGTCCCCCATCTCCATTGGCTGTCCAACAGGCATCCAGATACATCTCCAGACCTGAGTTCCTTACCTTTCCCCCTAACCACAGTCCCTCCTCAGTCATTCCCAACAGCAAACGTCGGTTTGTCCTTGCCGAGGTCCAGGAGAGGCACCTGGCGGTGCCCTTTGACTCTTCAGTCCCTATGCCTGGTCCGTCAGCAAATCTGATCATTCTTCTACATTCTTCCAGGACCTGACACTTCTCACCCTCATTGCTCTTTTCCCCAAACTCCCACCATAGGTCACCTACCTGGTTATTACCATGGCACCTGCCTCTGCCGTCGCCCCCTACCATCCACTCTCAACACAGCAGCCAAAGTGGCCCTGTTAAAACCTTAACCAGAGCTTGTCACCTGTCCTGTCCTCCTCAGTGGAAGTGAAATCTTCATCAGGCACATATAGCTGTACATAATCCAGCTCTCTGGTTCCCCTCCACACTCACCTTTTCCCCTCTCGCTGTTACTAACATGCTGTGGTCACTGGTTCACATGTGGTTCACATGAGCCATGATCCTGCCTTAGGATGAACATGCTGCTCCCTCTGCCTGCAGTCCTCTTTCTCCAAGTGCCCATGTGCTTCTTCCCTCATCCCAATCAGGCATTCCTTTCCCGTAGAACCTTTTCTGGCCACTATTCTCAAATCTCACCCCCTTCCCCACTTTGCTTCTCTCCACAGCACGAGTCACCTTCTAATACATAGCATAACACTTCTTCATCTTGTTTTTCGTCCATCTCCCTGCCACCGGAACATTTGCCCACTAAGGGCAAGAAGCTCTGTCTTATTGGTTCCCTGGGGTGGCCCATGAGCCTAGAGGGGCACCTGGATCCATTGTAGGACTTGATAAAATTTTGCTAAATAAATGACAAAAGTAAAATTTTTCCTGTCTGGCCATCATCTTTTTTTTTAGCTTCTTTAAAATTTTTATTCTTTATGAGAGAGAGAGAGCACATGAGTGGGGGAGAGGGGCAGAGGGAGAAAGAGAGAGAACCTTAAGCAGCCTTCACACTAAGCATGGAACCCGATACGGAGCTTGATCCCACGATCCCGGAATCATGACCTGAGCTGAAATCAAGAGTTGGACGCTCAACCAAGATTAAGCCACCCAGGCACCCGTGTCTGGCCATCGTCTTAAAATGAACCCCAAATCAGCAAAACCTTAAGTATGCAAATTAAACTTTAAAGAAAAACATTTTATATTAATAAAGAAAATCATTTTAAAAATCTAGTTCATTTTCCTCCTAAAACTTACTAGATGTATGAAGATGTTCAGAATTCCCAAAGAAACACTGTTTTTCCCATCGCTGGTTCTGGGGTTTCAGTTTAGCTCTTTGTAGATGGTTCTTTTAGTTAGAGTGGGGGGAGGAGCTGCTACCACATTTCGGTTGAGGAATGCTTCGTCTTCAGGGACTCCCATTTCTGGGAAAACACCCAACAGACTATTGGACGATGGTCCTCCTACCCCCTCAGCTCTAATGAGGATCATCTAAAAGGAATGGCCTCTTCCCGTTTTTGGGTTTTCGTGATTCTGAGTCTGTCTCTGACACTGGGCATTAGGTATATCTACTTAGCTCTCTCTGTCTATAAATAGACCTTCGTGTCCTTCTGAATGATGTGATGGGGCAGTAGTCCAAATTAGTAGACACGCATACATTTCTTGGCCGCCTTCCAAAAATGGTAATTATCCTTCTGAGTGAAGTGTTATTTCATCATTCAGAAAGGTTTTGTTGTTTTTTTTTTTTTAAGAATGGTAATAGTTACCTTCAGTGAAAAGAGCAAACAATATTGTGTCCCTTTAACAAATATAACAAAATGCCATCCATTTCAGCACATTGTCAGGTCCTGATAAAGATGGCCGATATTTATTTTAGCCAAATCCCTACCTTCTCTGCCAACAAACAAGCGAAACTCAAAAAAATTAAAAAAATAAAAAAAATTTTAAGCATACATAAACACTAGACAGGAGAGCTATCTGTC